CAGCTGCGGGCGCGGGCGGTCCGCCTTCTCGGCTCCTGCCCCTCGCCCCTTCCTTCACCCCAGACCCACAGATAGCCCAGGATGCCAGCCTGCCTGCTTGGGACTGCTCCACTGACATCCTGAATTGCTACCCTTGTTTTTTTTTTTTTTTTTTTTTTTTTTTTTTAATTGTTGGGCCCAACACTTCTGAGCTTTACAATCTTGTCATTAAAGAACAGCTCATCTTGTTCGGGCGTTTTTCTGTTACGACCTTATGGAGGTGGTCAGTGTGATGTCAAGTGCATGAAGCAGCCTGAAGACTCGGGGTGGGGGGGGAGGTAACCTAGAGTAAAAGATTGGCTAATGGAAGTCTGCTTTGGCAGGTCTAGCCCACCCACCCCCTTACTCCAAGAGTAAACACACACCACTGAGGGGCCAGCAAACGACTAACAGGACTGCCTTTGTTAGTTTTAATTTTGTTGATTTGTTGTGAAACTAACATTAAAGTACTATGGTACCCAAAGAACAAGAAAATCTACAAGCCAGGCAGAACAACAGAAGCAGGTTCACACTCATCCTCTTTTACCCACTCTATTCTTAAGTCATAGATAGATAGATAGATAGATAGATAGAGCAAGCTCTTCTATTCTCTGTCTTCCAAAGATAGCAAAGTCAGATACTAGCTTGCCAAACGGACACGATCTCTCAGTGTATTTAAAAGAAGCAAGGACTTTGAGTCTCCGAGGGAAAGAGCCCCACTTGATGACATAAAGATGGCTAGCAACATTTTTGTCCATGAAATTATTAAAACCACGGGAAAATATTTTATTCCCAGGATAGAAAGGGATCAGTTTTCTTGCTCCTAGACTTGCACAGAGGAAATCTGGTTCTGAACAAAAGAAAGGAGAATTGGCACAGGAGCAATTTGCAGGGTTTTTTTTTTCCAACCATAACTTCCAAGGGCTGGCAAATCTGTGATCCTCTAGGGAAATTTTTATTTAGAAAGAATGAGTAATAAATTGTCTTCCCATCTATTGAGATGTTCCAAAAATAAGAAATAAGTGTCTGTGAACACATAAATAAAAAAGTCATAAACACACACACATATGTACATATATATACATATATATATATATATATATATAGGAAAGTGGTCAGCCACACATGCCTCTTTTTCTCACCAGTGAAGAAAGTTTTTCACTTATATTTTTGTTTCCATTATACAAGAGGATGCTTTCCATCCAGGTTTCCCTGAAGAGCCATGCCAAGCCTGCCTCTCTCTTCAGAGATGCTTGCTCTGGCTTTATTATTGTTACTGCTGATGAAGAGATGAAAGAATTAAGCAGGAGATGCTTCCAGGCATGTCGGAAGACACTGGGCAGCTATATTAACTCCTTATTAAGCCTAAAAATAGTCTGTCATTTCCTGTTGATGCTTGTTCCCTGCCACTCTAGGACTGCATTTACCCTTCGATGGTCAGGGGTCCTGCTTTTCAAAGACAGTAAATGAAAGCTGAGTTCTAAGGCTCTCTCCGTCTTCCTTTGCTCTGCTACATTTCCCAGCAGGGCAAATGTGGGGCTGAGGGAGGTCAGGCTTGGTTTAGCCTACATATTGAAAAGACAAACATCTGCATTTATCGTGTTTAAAACTAACTGTTTAAGCAAGCATATAGGGTTCTTTTACCCTCTTCTCCCTTGAGCTGAGAAAAAAAATGTTTATGTAGTAAGGACTGGGGTCCAAAGTTTGCTGAAATAGACAAGCAAAAGGCTGAAAGGGAGAAGGAAGGGAAGGAGGGAGAGACAGGGAGGAAAAGCAGGCAAACATGTTTTCAGGCACAGCCCAAAGCCAAGAGGTGGGGAGCAGTTATTCTCAACCTTGCTGTCCCTCGGTTCTCTCAAGCAAGAAAGCTTTGGGTGAATACACATCCAGAAATGAATCCAGGGACCAGGGAGATGAGGGATGAATCTGAGGACCTAGTTAAGACAAGGAAATCTCAGATTTTAAAAAGTCTACAACCGAAGCCTCTAGGTTGAGACTTGTTTAGTTGATATCCTTCAAAGAGACACCTTTGAAAACTCCTATGAAGCCTCCTGGAGGTCAGTCCCGAGTTATGGTTTCCCAGGTGCCCATTCTTGGTACCCAGGAAAGGGTTATGTCCCCAAACTCCAGTGACTCTTCCTTCTGGGGCATATAGTAAATAAACCCACTTTTAGGCTTGGTATGGGAGAACCTGGGAGAGGAAGATATTAACAAGCACTACAGCTTTATTAATAGAGAAAATACCTACAAAGTCTCAGCATTTTCCTGTCTAGGCCAGTTCTTTGGGCTACTCCTGAAGGTGCCATCATTAGCCTGGGTCAACAAATGAAAAAGAGTAAGTTTTTCTCTCCTGCCTTGGAGTTTTTACAGGTGTGTGTGTTGGGGGAGGGAAGAAGGTTCCTGAGCTCTAGAATATCATGTATCCTTTCCTTACACTCATATACTACACACACACACACACACACACACACACACACACACACACACACACGGGGAGGGGGGAAATTTTAGAGAATTTTATATTGAATGAGGAAAAGAACAAGCAGGAATTTTTTTCCACCAATGTCTCCTATTGAGAAGGGGTTTCTTAATGTGGCTATGTAAATCAACACCGAGTTATTTCTTTGAATTCAAAGACCATTTATCCAGGTCTAATTTCTTTAGAATTAACGTGATAACTGAGCCCAACTTAGCAACCAAACCCAGCCAAGTCCTGGATGGCTTGAATGTACTGCCACAGCCCCCACCGAGATTGAAAACGTTTCTGGGAGATCCAGGCATTCTCAGCCCCACACGTGTATGCAAACACCCCCAAAACTAACCTGGGGCAATTCCCGACCCAAGAGTCCAATCCTACCCCTGCAAGAAAGAAGCCGGAGGTGTTTAGAGGGGGGTGCTAGTTTTTCTTTCTACTTATCGTGGACAAAAGTGATATAGCTCCAACATCTCAACACCTCAACACCTTCCAAAGTGAAATGCAGTTTAGCCTCCAAATCCCCTTCCTAAAACTTTAATGAATATGATTCTTATCTTACAGTAACAGGCCCTTAAAAAAACCGCTTAGGCCTCCAGATTTGATTGGTAAGTTTACTTGTATTTTGAATGATAAAGGCTCCGGTGGCCCTACTCGCCCTCCTTCCCCTCCCACTGGCAAGAGTTGGCGGAGGTTCCCCAGAGGGCTAGACAAAGAAGAAGAAGCTTGGACTGTGCGGGAGGCGCCGAGGCTGAGAGCCCCTGAGGTGTGTGTCTTTTTGCTAGGCTCTGAAAAGCCGCAAGTTTTGCCTCTAGCCAAGGGACTGGCAGCAGGTTGCACCAGGGTAAAGTAGGGGTAACTTCTAGTGCCCGCTTCGAAGTTTAACTAAGATGGCCCAGACACCAGGTGAGCGACCAGGAAAGGAACTGGCCAACTTCCGTTGGAGCAATGCGACTTGAGCTCTGTACGAATAACGCGGCACCTTAGCTGCCGGTAGATGTCACATTGTGGCAGACACTAGTCGCCCAGCCTTGGTCCAACAGTAGTCTTCTGTCCTCTAGTCCCTGTCCTAGTAGGAATGTGGAATGGCCATTCCTACTATTCTACCCCGAATGAGCGCACCGACACCGCTGTCCAGTGAGGTGAGACCCCTTGCTCTCGGCACTCGCTCAAAGCCCAGCCGGTCTCACCCAGCAAATCTCAACAAAACCTACATCATACACAACTAACCCCCTAGCTGCACACTTGCATCCCAGGAACAGAATGAAGGGATTCTGTCCTCAGCCTACGGAGGAGGGGATAAGAGCCCAAACAGAACACCTGAACAGACAATTCTCCTGCCTGGCTTCCTCACACTTTAAACAAACGTGGGGGGAAATCCCTTTGCAAACAGACGCTGTGCGCCTTGGATCTGCAGCTTAAGTGGCGAGGAGACTTTTCCCGGCCCCACCACCTCCAAAAGCTATCAGAGTTGCACGGAGTCAGTAGGCAAAGCACTGCACCTGCGAGCGTTAAGGGAGAGACACAGAAAAGCAAACCGGAGAAACGCCTTCACCGTGTTAACAGCAAGCTGCAGGGTACAGAGTAATAAAACTGCCATGTCTACCTGCTGGCTTTGAGGACATTACGAGCTGGGCGCACAGCCCAGGTGCATCACAGGGTGGGGGTTGCTTCTCTTTCCCTGATTTCCCTTTCTGCACCCCATCAGTTCCTTACCCAGCCCATCTTTCACTTTCCTAGAAGATGTTGTTGTTTTAATTCACTGACGATATGTAAACGCGTGGATCGCGTTACAGGTTCGCGGGTTAAACTGCACCTCTTGTTAAAAGAGAAGGAACAAGGGACGTCACTTAAAACTGAATTCAGAGTTACTGAACCGGCTCCCGGGACTCAAGAAGTTAAGCGTGGCGGGCTGGGCAAAGGAAGAGGGAGCTTATGTAGCTGCCCGCGAAACTCTGGAGAACACCGGAGGGTCTTCTGATAAAACCAAAGAAGGAAAGAGTGGAAAGGGAAAAAGGGAAAGGCAAACTTGCCAGCGGGCTCCTGAAAACCCCGAGCGTGTAGCTAAGAAAGTCAATTAACATAAGCTGCAGTCAGCGACCCCGGAGCAACCTGGAAATTGAGCCGCTCGGGCTCCTATCACCCTTTTCTGGAGTTCCAGTGGCAAGCAGAGCCACTAAATTCTCTATTCTAGGGATCCTGAGGTCGTGCAGCTTATGGGCTACAGACGAAGTAAGGTGCAGTCCCAGCAGTTTTTCCAAAAGAACGATCGCCAACCTCGACACCCCTACACAGTGTTGCTACCCCGCACATTCCCCCTTGTAACCAAAAGCTCGTAGTTAGGCACCGAGCCCGGGGGGTAAGGTAGGGTCCTCAGATTTCGCCCACTCAAACTACGCCGCCGACTGATAGCGCGGGTTCCCGGAGCCTACCTGCGGTCCCGGGACCCGACCCCGGTGCGGCCTGGCTTGCCCTTCTCCCCGCCTAGAGTTGGATCTGGTTCTCCTACCTGATGGCTGGGCCTGAACGTGGCTGCCTGGGCTCCGCTGTCCCTGCTCCGCAGCTTGGACCTAAGTGAGTCTGGAGACCCGAGGGAGAAAGGCTAGATCCGTAGCCCTGAGCTGCTCCAAACTTAATGTCTTTCCCCAGTCCATGTTTGAAACAGAAGTGGTTCTACCACCTGGATGTGCGGATATAAACCCCCTTGCAAATAATAAATGGATTAATAATAACAAGGTATGAAGTTCTTTTTATAGAAAAAAAGGAGAGAATTGAAACTAAATGCGGCAGTTAGACAACCATTTTGATAAGAGGATAATTGAGGCGACACTGGTGTATAATTAGAGGATAATTTATGCTATATCCACTTTTATTCCACCTCCCAAAATAAACCCAGTCCATAATCATTACAGGCAAATTGTTCTGAATTTTATAGCAGCAATTTGAACAAAGTACTGCAGTTAATCATGGGAGATTTTTGTGTATTCCTGATTAGAACTCTAATTGCCTCCTTCCAGAAAGTAAAAATAACTGTAAAACGACTCTATTTTTATCATTAACAATGTTGACAATAAAATAAAATCAATTGGAATTGTAATAGAGAGACAAATTTAGGACGAAGGCACTTTTACTTGGGTAGTTTATATTGTAATCAAGATTTGCCAAACCACTAACCACATGTATCATTTGCATATATTTGAAAGCATTACAGTAGCTTCTGTTTTCAATAGAAAAAAATGCATTACTGTCAGCCCTCCAACGACTCCCTTTCAGAGCAGACTGCTGCGTTCTGGGCTGGGAGGTGTTCCTCCTCCCTTGGAGGCGAGGGGGGGTGTCAATATATAGGAAATAGGACCTAAAACAGCAGGAATCTCGCCAGAACAAGGGCTGAGTTTTCATTCTTTACTATCCCCCAAGAGATGGAGCCCAGATGTGGGGTCCTTCTTCCCTCTACGATTTCAATAAAGAACTTCTAGGAAAACCCACCACGACAAGGAGATCCCTTGGGAGTAGAGTAGAGTTGGAGTCTTGAGGGAGGGGTAAGGTCAAGTGAAAGGGGGGGTCTGGCTTTAAATGCTAGGGCCACTGCTTCTGAACACAGACAGCCTGAAAGGGTGCAACTGAATTGAAAGGGATCAGCTTCTTCCAGTCAGGCTGTTCCAAATCTCCAATCCTGGAAACAAGGGTTCCAGGATCTGGGCTTGGAGCTTCGACGGCATGCGTCTGCAGCCTAACGGGCGCCTCCCTTCGCCGCTGCGTCCCTTTAGCTCCGGGCAGACCCAGGTTGCAGCTCTGGGCTGATAATGTAGTTGCTTAAGGTAGGAGAACTCCGCAAGCAGCGCACACGCCAGTAGAAGCGGTGCGCCTGTGACGTCAGGGGGCGACTGACCAATAGGGAGGCGCTGCCCTTTGGAGCCGAACCATTCGACTCGTGGCGTCTGCATCAAGTCTGAAAGCAGACGCGCAACTTTCGCAGAATCCACCTTAAAATCTCTGCCTTAAACTGCACCAGCCCCCAAAAAATCCAAGGGGGGAAGAGAGGGGGGAGAAAAGAGCAGACTCCCCCTCCCCCTCTCCTCTCCCATCCCTCCCCCTTCCTCCTCCCTTTGGGTTAACAAGGCCCTGCTCACTATATCTCTTTATATTAAATATATATATATTAGAGAAGAGCGAGGAAGAGAACCACCTCCGCCCCCTCCTTTTTAAATTTTTTTAAAAAATTTTTTGCAAGGATCCCGAGAGCTAAGGTGGCTGCAAAGGGGAGAGCGGCGCGAGCCAAGTGGGGGAGGGTGGAGGAAACCCGGGAGAAGGCTTTCTCCAGCCCCCAAAGTTTTGATGATGACCATGACTACGATGGCTGACGGCTTGGAAGGCCAGGACTCGTCCAAATCCGCCTTCATGGAGTTCGGGCAGCAGCAACAGCAACAGCAGCAGCAGCAGCAGCAGCAGCAACAGCAGCAGCAGCAGCAACAGCAGCAGCCGCCGCCGCCGCCACCGCCGCCGCCGCCGCAGCCGCACTCGCAGCAGACCTCCCCGGCCATGGCAGGCGCGCACTACCCTCTGCACTGCTTGCACTCGGCCGCGGCGGCGGCGGCGGCGGCCGGCTCCCACCATCACCACCACCAGCACCACCACCACGGCTCGCCCTACGCGTCGGGCGGAGGCAACTCCTACAACCACCGATCGCTCGCCGCCTACCCCTACATGAGCCACTCGCAGCACAGCCCTTACCTCCAGTCCTACCACAACAGCAGCGCGGCCGCCCAGACGCGCGGGGACGACACAGGTGAGAGGCCGCCTAGGCAGCTAGCTTCTCCCGCCTCCCCACTGCCTCCCACCCCTCCCGCCCAGCTCACTTCCTCCACGCCGGGGCCTCTGCCGGCCCCCTCCTGCGGGCGGCCCTGCGCGCCCCCAGCCGGGCCCCGTGCGCTCTCGATCTCTTGGCGCCTGCCTGCCGGCCTCTCCCAGTCCCGGCCCCTTCCCGCCGCCCTGGACCCCTGGCTGGCTGGCCCTGCGGCCGGCCCGGCTCCCCTGCCTCTGCGCGCCGCTCCCACTGCAACCCCGGACAGTGCGCTAGTCTCCCGCCACGGTCCTGGCTGCTTCCTCCAGCCCGCTGTCTCTAAGCGCCCTCTGCCTTGCCCCTTCCCTCTCGCTGTGACCCGCGTTTGTCGGGACTGGGGACATTTCTGGGCTAGGACTGAAGAGCTAGTTAGGCTTCCCACGTCACGCTGGGCAGGCAGTGGCCTACTTTGCGTGGGGCACCTGGTGCGCCTTGGTGACTTGGAGCGAAGCTGTTGCGGCAGATAGGTTCAGTGAAACTAATGACTATTGGACTTTTTCTTACCCCTGTGAGCTTTGAGGTGTCCCCTGCCCCCCATCCTGACCCGGCCCCCTCTCTTTGGGTTTAAAATAGTACTTTGGCCGCTCCTTTGTTCTTGGGGGCGAAGCAGAGGGCCTGGGGTTGATAGCTCTCTGTTGTCCAGAGAGTTGCAGCCTGCTCTAGGGTTGCTCTGGGCTCCTGATTGTGTTTTGTTTGTGGGTTTTGATCCATGCGAGCAGAATTGTTTCGAACTTACAGAAGGGACTTAAAGCACTAAGCTTGCAGCTGAATGACACAAAACCAACTGGCCACGTAAACACCCGGGTGGCTCAGAAGCAGCTTCAGACATTGTAAAAAGTCAGGCCAAGAAGCCACTCTCCTCCCAGAGAATAGAAGTCTCTCAGAGCCGCGGATTCAGGAAAGCCGCCGGCGCTGTCTCCGCTGCTGCGGAGCTCCGCTGTTGTGCCTCGGGCTTCCTAGATTCGACCACTGCCAAGCATGCATTGTTAGGCCTAGGGGCACGGTCAGAGGGAAGCTTCCACAGCCTCTGGGGACACACGGACACAGTGGACCCAGGGAGTTCAGGGTGTAGTGGCGCTACTAGGACGAACCCTTTTTAAACTTAGGGGAAATCCTTGCAGGCCTAGTCACATAAAGGGGGAAGGCAGCTGTGGCCTCACGGGTGACCGCTCCTCTGTGTCATTTGCTTACAGATCAACAAAAAACTACAGTGATCGAAAACGGGGAAATCAGGTTCAACGGAAAGGGGAAAAAGATTCGGAAGCCTCGGACCATTTATTCCAGCCTGCAGCTCCAGGCTTTAAACCATCGCTTTCAGCAGACTCAATACCTGGCCCTTCCCGAGAGAGCCGAACTGGCTGCTTCCTTAGGACTGACACAAACACAGGTAATTCCCGAGAAGCCCAAGTATCCCTGAAATGCTGGCCCCGCTTGCAAATCGTGCAGAGAGCACACCGGGAGGAATTCTTGGCCTAGTCAACCAAGGATGGAAGGAGATAATGGCAAATGCTTGTGCTCCGGTTGCGCGCTTTCCTGGGATCACACAGTTTGGAACAAATGACATGGTATTGAATCCTGGATTGGATTTGCATATACACCAACCCTCTGCGACCCCAGCCTAGCATCTTTTGGTGAACAAAAGTGTCCAATCAAATCCGATTCCAGAGCAGAATAACATGAAACAAAACGTGTGTGTGTGTGTGTGTGTGTGTGTGTGTGTGTGTGTTGGGGGATCCAGCTAGGAAGCAAAATAAGGACCCTTTTTGTGGCCCGTGTGAGCTAATAAGAATTTCAACTCATTGACATAGGACGAAAACTTAGGAGCTGTGATCAGCAGCAAAAGTAAACTAGACACGTTTTCCAGTAGCTTCGTAAAGGCATCCATGTGCAAACCATTCACTCCAGGATGGGTAAGGTAGGGTTTTCTGAAGATTGCTTTAGGCTCAGTGGTTAAAGCATCCTGGCACCAAATAGTGCAGATTGAGGCACCTCCCCCGAATCACAGAACTTGACAGAATTGAGGAACAAAGAGAATTATTTCCCAAATTATGGCCTGGGACGCCACACATAACAGTCCTGCTGACTTGAAAGATGTGCTGGACATTTCAGATTTCACAGAAAGGGGCCTAGAGGTGAGTACACCAGGCTGCACTCTCAAGCCATCAGTAAAGCCAACTGCATGGGGTGATGAGGCCTATTATGTCATTCAACATCTTCATGCAGCAGGGGTACTTTGGGCCTTACAGACATTTCCCAAGACCATATAGAACGGTGTCCTCAAGCCACGTTCCTAAGCTCTTTTCCATCAGCCTGGTTTCTATTGCCATGTTGCCACTGAAAATATTTGAGGTTTTCTATGAAAGGGCTCTAGATGCTCCGTGACTCTTATTATTCTTGGAAAAACAGATTCAGGAATTTTGAAGCTAAACCTGCATCGTAGATTTTCTTTCATCAGAAAAAAAAAGGGGGTTATTGAGCTAAATAAGCTGCCAACACAGATTTCTGATTCACGTGTGGTTTTCAGAGGCCTTTGACTTTTAGTAGCTATCCCAATCATGTGATGATTGATGACCTCTGTTTGCCTGAGCAACATACTAGGTAGGGAATGGGGGATGGTGCATTTCTTAATGCCTGCAGGATTGGAAGAATATTTATGTCTGGAGAAAGAAATCCCAAGGCATGTGCACACTATGTGTAGGTATGCTTGGAGCATTGCAGGCTTTGGGGTTCACAAATATAAAAACTGAATAATAGAAGGAGGCAAACTCACTTGTATGATTGTGATCCAATATCTACTTTGCTTAAATGTCCCTAAAATTTTGGTCTACTGATCTCATTTGATTAATTTAAATTTTATGCTGATGCCTTAATACCCAAGTTAGGATTCAACCCAAGAATCACAAGGACTCTAGGTATCCTAACTAGGCCTAGAGTGGAGGGATAGAGAGGGCTATAAAGAAGTGGGGGGGGGGCTGGGAATGGACTTTTGGGAATTGCATTGGTTGTTTTGTTTGTTTTTAGTGTTGCTTCTTGAGCCTAGGATGACCCTGAAGGCACCAGTTTGATGTTTATCTGGCCTAATGATTGCCACGTTTCTTGCAGGTGAAGATATGGTTTCAGAATAAACGCTCTAAGTTTAAGAAACTGCTGAAGCAGGGCAGTAACCCCCATGAGAGTGACCCTCTCCCAGGTTCAGCAGCCCTGTCACCACGCTCCCCAGCTCTGCCTCCAGTGTGGGACGTTTCTGCCTCCGCCAAGGGCGTCAGTATGCCCCCCAACAGCTACATGCCTGGGTATTCGCACTGGTACTCTTCACCACACCAGGACACCATGCAGAGACCACAAATGATGTGACTTGTCTGAGTGGACAGCCTCGGGGCTTCTGAAGGAAGCTCCGAGGATCCAGGACTCACCTGCATCTGCCAAACAGCCTAAAGGATGAGCTCAGAGGAGCTATGTCTGCGATCTGGCTCTCTCTCTCTGTCTCTCTCTCCCTTTTCTCTTCCCCCTCCTTTTCTTTCCTTGTTTTCATCCCTTTTAATCTTTCTTCATCTTTATTTCTTTCCACCTTTTTTTCTTTTTTCCCTTCCCTCCCCTTCTGCAATCTCCTCTCTTCAGTAACCTTAATAAGTAAGTTTGTATCAGAGAGAGAGAGAGAGAGAGAGAGAGAGAGAGAGAGAGAGAGATTGGCTTCTGTGCCAGTGTTCTGGAAACCCATCACTGTAAGGATATTTTCCATCAAACCTTAGGATCCAGGCCCTGAGCCTCTTCTTTGGGACTCTCCATCAAAATGACCGTTTTTTTGTTTTTGTTTTTTTTTTTGTCTGTTTTTGTTTTTAAACAGACATTGTACACCCGCAGAACAATCTGCACAAACATGGCAGCATTTTTACTTGTTTAATGAGTTTAAGACATTACGTGATGAAAGACAAGGATTTTGGACTCCTGAATTTTTATTTACCAATCCACAACTGAGAGAAGCAGGAAAAAGAAGAAGAAGAAGAAGAAGAAGAAGAAGAAGAAGAAGAAGAAGAAGAAGAAGAAGAAGAAGAAGAAGAAGAAGAAGAAGAGCCCCCACTATCCCTTTTCTAAAGAAAGAAGAAAAATTGGCTGTCAAATTAGAGCATTGCCACAAAGGAAACGCTGCATATCTTATCTAAATGCAATGACCAGGAACGATGATTCAACTAAATACAAACAGTAACAGCAACAAGAAAGATGCTTTTTGCATAACCCACCTCTGAATCAAGAACAACCAAGGAAACAACCAAAATCACCATTCTGTTGCTTTGACACCTTTCCCTAGGTGAATAGTGGCATTCACTAAGCTAATAGGGACATTTATATCAAGAAACATTTCTGTATATATTGTTGAATTTTAGTTGTATATATACTTTGTATGTTTTTGTCTTCTTTCATATACGGAGTAAAAGCCACAAAATGTTGGGAGTGTCCTCTATTTCTCCATGGGTCTCTGCCTTTTCATCCTTCATCCCTTTCCATTATAGATATATTTACCTCTCCTAAAATAATTTCTGTTTCCTAATATGGGGTGTTCTATACATACTTATCAAGTGCCTGAAGAGATGTCAGCTTGCACCACAAGCTTTTGTCTTAGGTACCTTAACATGAGCTGTGGATATCTTCTCAGCCATTCATTTTAATTTTGTTGTGATTATACACTTTTGTATTATTATAACCTATTTTCAGGTTAACTTCTAAACATCCAGTCATTTCCAGTACTGTATCTGAATATTCTCCTTTCCCTTTTCCCAGCCAAAATAGTACAACTATACTTGCCTTTGCAAGCAGTAAAAAATATTAAAGAGAGGAAAGAATAACAGACCCAGAAAGCAAAGTGCACAATTTTGACTACTTAATGTTGAAAACCCACTGCAAGCTAGCGAGGTAGGAAAATGTATGATCCTGGGAGAAATACATCCTTCCGATCTCGTGGAAAGCAAAGAAATAATGAAAATGAAAAAGTCCTTTCGTCATACAAGCAGGAAGCCCCATACTGTGAGAATTAATGGCTACAGACCTGGGCATCCTTCAAATTATGAACCTTGAAACCACTGAGCCATTTATCAGAAGTCAATAGAGATACTCAGAGTGCTCCATATAATGACAGCGACATACAGTCGTGCAAAAGGACAGTCACTATAATTAGACACAAAGCAAAGACTACTTACCAATATACCCGTTCCCTTTTTTGTTGAGCAACTTCCACGCTCAGTCAGTCTTCAGAGTGGTTTAAAACCGATCAGTCTTGTCATTTTCTAGCATTCGCATTGTTACATTAGGAAAAATGTTTTCTTTTCTTTTTTCCCCCTTCCTACTGTGAAACTTTGGGTTCGTAGCTCCCCAGGATCAATTCTGAACAAAGCCTCCAGCTGCAGTGCCATCCAATTTGAAGCAGACATTGGGGACAATTTAAGGTTTTTATCCACAAGAAGGTTTTTTTCCATTCTCTTAAATGCAGCCATAATTAGAGTAATTTTTCATGTAGCCCGCTGATTACAGCGTTTTTACCGTCAAAGATAATTACCTGTAATTTTCTTCCACTTTTAATACTAAAAAGCCATCTTTATTTAGATTCAGGAACAGGAAAGGCGAAACAAAAGAGGGAAATTATTCTGTTATTCATACACAAATTGCAGAGACGTAGGACCTAAAATTGAAAATTAACCAAAATTATAATGCTGAAAAGAATGGAAGAGGCTGCAGAAGTACAGCTGGTAGTGGGGTTTTGCTGAATTATTCAAATTATGTTAGAGAGAAAGCTACCATATATCCAAACCAACACTAATTTTTCCTTAAAAAAATCACCAAATATATGCCAAACCACTGTGAGTGTGTGGAATTCTGAAATCCAGCCAATGTATGTTACTATGTTGGAGGCGGGGTGATTGTGTTTCTCCATCCCATCTCTATCTCTTAACATCAGCTTAATCACACAAATTCTGGGAGGTAGTCCCCCTGGAACTCTCCGTAGAATTGGGCTCCCACTGGATCCCCTGAACTTCAAGGGTTAATATTTTCTCTTTTAAAATGTATTGACCCCCCTAGGAAACTGAGGGAGGGATTCCCGAGGGAGGGATTGGTAGGAGGGGCATGGGTGAAAGGCGTTGCCAGTTGAGGGGTCTACTGCGCCTCCCCACGTTCAAACTTCCTCCTAGGCTGTAGATTTTGAGTTCCAAAGCCCGGTTCTGACCGTGCTCGAGGGTGGGGTGAGTTGTGGAGCATAGCTATTGGGTAAGGGTATAGGAGAAAGAAATTTTCTCCCCCTCACTAATAAAAAGCACCTCGTTCTCTTTGGACTAAACTTAGGGCAAAGGTCCTTGCCACTGTGGAAAAGCTTTTCCATGCAGGTTGGGGAAGTCAACGGCATTGTGGGCTCCTACACCAAACATTTCTAGCTGCTTATCTACAGGATCAGGAAACAGCGTCATCTATAAATAGAACAGCACAGCTTCTTGCTAGTGCCTTCCTTGGTGCATAGACTAGGCTGGTTCCTTGGCTTCGTGTATATATATTGGTTCTGTGTCTCAACCAATCATGCCCCTCTAGCACCAGGGTCGCTGCATTTGGGTTCAGCAGGCAATAAGGTCCAAGATCTTGATACCCTTCCCCTCCCCCATTACACACACACACACACACACACACACACACACACACACACACACCACGATTCTAAGCAAGGCCCTAAAGAACAGCCTGGAAGGGCTTCAGAAGCCAGCTATTCTACAAACTTTCCCCCAGATGGAGAGAAGATGTCCAAGGGGCTGCAAAGCCCAGAGGTTGGGGGCACACCTGCCTTTGCTAACAGGCATCCGCATACTTGACTGCAAAGAAGCAAGCCACACAGCCAGTTCCGTTTGATCTCCTGATGCCTCAAAACCTAAAATCACCGCGGCATGTAAAAACTTCAATGTATTTACCTAAGATCAATTTTAAGTAACAATTTTGAGATACATTTTTATCTTGGACTCTCAGGCTCCTACCACACCTCACAGAAACCTGGTCTTCTCCAGTCACAAACTACACCAAACACATCAGCAGCAGAGAGGCAAGACCCGCAAATCAGCTTCTTAAGGAGCCCATTTCCCCCAGATCAACTCTTTTACTATTAAAGGAAACTAAAAGATCAGAACCAAAACCCAGAAAACAAAGTTGCAGTCCAAGGAAATCGCAACACATTAGATACAGCATGGAGAGTGAGAGATGAGAAATAAAAATGGTACCTAGAAGTATGCCAGAAATAAAAACTTACCCCAGTGAATATCTCTTAAGCAATGATCAGGGTCTAGAAATCTATACTGAACTGAAGCACGGGAGAGTATTTTTCTGAGTCTCAGGGCAGAAGCTCTGTGTCTATATTCTTGGTTGAGTGAGCACATCCAGGTGTGAAATTGTTTGCACACCCCAGCACCTCTTATATTGCCAGCAAAATTAGCTGTTATTACTGTCACTGTTTAGTGATGGTTAGCGTGATACAAAAAAAAAAAAAAAAAGCTGCTGTAATCAAGACCTGGCGCATCTTTGCAAATTACAGATAATTGTAAACGTCCAGATTATGATAATAGCATCCTAATCCAGCCTGCAATATAATTATTACAGAGTGTTACATCTGAAACTGTCCAGTAGGGCTAATTCAGCCATTATTTAGACCCTATTTTTTGCACTGCAAATGGGTTGCTGAGTTGAAAATGTACGATTGTAATTTCACGGGGCACTCAATGAGTAATGGTATAGGAAGGGGAAAATACAAAAGTGAAATGTGAACAGTAGCGATCAAATCAAACCCTGAAGGACAAAAGACTGTTTGATTCATATGGAAAAAGAAGAGCCAGAATTAAGAAAATAGCAAATCAGTGGTCTGAAGTATTATGTGTCCAAGTCTTCAAAGTGTGGTGCTGATGCATTTGCAGAGGCTGCTCTTGCTGCCTGCCTGCCGTTTCAAATCATGTTTCTTCTCCTCCTCCTCCTTCTTTTTCCTTTTAAAATACCCCTGTCTTTCTCCCCTCTGCCAAAGCATTTCCCTATTTTAAAGGTGCCCCTCCCCCACGGCCCCTCCCCCCAGCAAAGAACATTTGTCAGTTTCACCATTGTTTCCACCGAAGTCACCTCAGAATGTGCCTGTCACTTGTTATGAACATATTTTTAAATGCGTTTGCAATTGTTCTTGTCATCAGAGCAAAATGCCCCGGCTGCTTGTGAAGTGTTTCTGTCCTCCAGCTCCGTCTCTGATCTCTTTCACCATGAAGAAGCTACAGTGTATCTTACAGGATGTTAGCTGAACATGTATTAGTTGATGTTAATTAAATATAGCCAACTGGGAAGCTGCCGTCTTCAGCTGGTTTGGCTGTTTGTTTTAATTCCGTCATTAACTTTATCAATTAAGATCTCCCTCAAATCAATCAATCTGGCGGCTTCTGTGTCACAGTATGCCTAACCGGACAAGGTTTGAAGGTGACCTTCAAATTCTAAAGGAAAGACCAAAAACAGGGTGGGAAAACCTGGAGAGAGCTTGAAAGAGACTGTTCCCGCTCCCGGAGTCAAACCCTCTGGGATTCTATTGCTTCCAGTAGGATAACCCTGCTGCCCTAGTAGAGACTTCTCTGGTCTAATTCTGGTAGGGACACCCCTGCCAGAGGTACCTAAATACCTTGTATCCCCAGGAGATCAGTTTTTCCATGTCGAGCACAGAGAGTTTGATGGGTCTTTTCCAGTCTGGAGGCCAATTGTGTTGATTCGCTCTCCTCCTGTCACCACCTTTGAGACCCACACGCTGCCCAGCCTGGGCCACCCTGCGGGGTGGCAAGCAGGCTCCCTACCTCCTGTGAATATAAGGGCAATAATGAAATGTCCCCTGTTTAGTGACCCCGTTTATAGATGAAAGTTGAGTCCATATCTGCCTCCCCCACCCCCGTGGCCCTCTTTCCCCACCTTGCAAATGGCAAGTGGCAGAAATAGACTTAGGATGACAGTTAGCATCCAGTGGCAGTTTCTGCTTTCACGCCTTTCAAGGAAAAAAAATGTTTTAAAATAAATCATAGCTTGGGAACTGTTTACCATCCTTCACTCCCACCCACTTCTTAAAAAAAAAATACAGCAGACTGTGTGGTGGATTCCACAGAGAATTGTTACTGAAACTTGGAGTGTGTGTGAGGGGTGTGTGTGCGTGCGTGTGGTGTGCGTGCGTGCGTGTGTGTGCCTGTGTGTAGAATCAGGTCATGAGGCCTCCTCCCTCCTTCCTGTGGTGAAAGGTCGCAATGTGTGGTATTTCACGGTTTTATATAAATCTTGGTTTAGGATGTGGAACAGACTCAATAATACATGTGCTTGTGGCAAAGAGATCCCTTCGGAACCCCATAAATCAGAAGTAAGTCCAAGCGAACAACAGCTCAGAAACATTTAATTGCTGTAAAAACCGGGTTCTCCAGTCCCTTAAAGCGGTAATCGTGTACATTAATTCCCTGTTTCTGTCTTTAAGGTACAAACTCAAAAGTATAAAACAGGTTATTACTTTACAACGGGCAGCTCTCGGTGACTGAAAGGCTCAAGCACCCCTCAGTCCCGCACAGCTCCGGAAGTAGATACATTGCATACTTTCTGCCTGGCACCGCTAAGAAATCTAAAGCCTGTCAGAAGCAAAAGAAAACACGAGGGATGCGGGTCGCCGGTACAGGCTGTGTGGAAAAGATTTAACCAGTGCCGCGAGTACCACCGCGATCGGGGCTATTTTCGGGGCCCAAATTTTTTTTGGCCTGGGCCTGGGTCGAAAATATCCAAGGTCTGCGGACAACCTGGGAACAAGGGGAGGGAAGCAGGGGAGGAGACTGTAGGGGGGGTGTGCAGAAGCGAACCGAAAAAGCCCCCTCCCCAAGAGCTGGGCAGTGGGAGTCTTCACCCAGCTGATGGGGTGGGGGTGCTTGCGAGTGAGGAGCCCGGTGACCGCAGGCTAATCCTCGAGGGTGGCGCCCTTCCCAGCTGTGTCTCCGAGCTACAGCCCTCAGGGTGTGCCTTCCCCGAGGGCTGGAGAGCTCAAGGTTGGCTGGATCCCAGTGGCCAGTGGGAGGCGCTGGAACCGGGAGGTGGGGGAGGGGGACGAGAGGGGGGGGCTGGCTGAGTACTCCTAAAGGTCCCTCTTTGGGAACAACAGGAAGCCAGGAGCAGAGGGAGAGTGCAGAGCAGTTTTCAGGAGGCAACCAGGGCAATTCGGACAGGAGAGTGCTAGATCCCGAACTGTGAGGACGCCCCAGAGAGCGGCGGCCTAGGCACGCTGTGGGTAAATCTGAACCGCACAGCCGGGACGCCGCGAGCCACTGGGCGTCCCGGGCGATCAAAGAAGCCATGGGAGGCTCGCCGGCGCGCCTTGGGTTGTGGTATAAGGGGCGGGAGAGAGAAGGCTGTCCTTAGGCGGAGAGATGCTGTTCTGGCCGGTGTCACTGGGCGAGGATGCGTGTACATCTTTGTGTGGGTCAGAGCTCTCCTAGGCGAGGTCGAATCCTGGGTGGATCCGAGTCGGAGTGGACGGGCTCCCGGGTAGATGCCCGACGCGAGGGAAAGAGCAGGCAAGAGAGTGAGATCAAGGGCAGCGAGGTCTGCGGGTTCTTCAGTGTGTGTGTGTCTCAGGCCCTGTGGCCCAGCACTGGAGCCGCCTGGCACCCACAGGAATGCAGCTTCCCTCGGATCCCCAGGCTGCCTCTTGTCCCACAAGGAGGTGGCCGCCAGGAAAAAGGGGGAGAAAGCCGCCTAACCCAACCAAAGACTCAAACAAAGGCCAATTTATCTGATCTTCTACAGAAGGGCACGGGAGGCGGGCCAGGCACCGAAAAAGAAAAGAAAAAAAAAAAAAGCCCTGCCAAAATGTCCTGGATCTCCAGGGCTTTGCAAGGAGGTCTGAAGACCGGGATTGAAAGTATTGAGTGGAGGCAGGGGTCCACTGTAAAAAAAAAAAATTAATCCCGAAGTTTGCTCGATTGATCTTTGGGGCATTTGACAGAGAACTAGGCAGGTGAGGATCAGAATGGGCAGGCACACCGACTCGTAGCTTGAGGTCCAGGGACAGAGGGGGCTGTCGGCGCCAAAATATTGTGAGGAAAGATACACGCGTGTTAGATACAGGGAGAAACAATGGGCAGCAAAGGAAGGTGGGAGGGAGAGCAAGAGAAACAGATATTTTTAGACTTTGCTGAGGATCTGTTATTTTTACATCCTTGGGCTCAGGACTGCAGGGAGTTAAATTCCCTGGGGAGAATCCCCGTGGTGCCAGGAAAGCCCATTGCGACTCACTTGCCAGAATATTTTTGTTCACCGCTCCCCAACCAAGTTAAAAAAAAAAAAAAACCGCGCAAGACAAGAGACCACTACTAGTGGAGCAAGTGAGGCTCGCACAAGGGAAGGAATCCTGACCGCCCCCCCCCCAACTTCCTCCCCGTGGCCGCTGCTACTGCCGCGCTAGGCTTGGCCCCAAGCAAACCGGCTTTAGTGTCCTTAACAACTAGCAATGCCCCAGCTTGGGGTGAAGGGCGGTGATTAAAGAGCACCCCCCCTTTTTCCCTGAGAAGAGTCTGGACACGCCCTTCCCTCCGCTTGGCTGAGTCCGGGGGTCGGAGGTAGTGAAGAAACCACACACACCCCTTTCCACCAGGAATGAAGCTGGGAGATGATATCCACCCTCTCCGAGTGTCAAAATGGAAAGAGCGTGTTCCAAGCACATTTTTGACACTCTTGGGAAACCAGTGGGCGGGAAATATTGGGGGTGTGCGGTGGGTGCTCCCCTGCCAACCTTCCCAAACGTACACCCTGGGGTGAGGACAGGCGTGTGGCAATCCAAAAGCTAAGTCCTGGAAGTCAAGACCAAGCCTTTAGAAAGATCGGGGCTTTAATGTAATGGAAACTGCCGCAGCAAAGCAAAGAAAGAAAAGCAGAAAATAGACACCTTCGTCTCTTCTCTCTTTCCTCTCAGCCGCTGCAGAAAACAAAACGGGGCGGAGCCTCCCCTAACTCCATCACCCACCAAAGGTGGAGTGCAGTGAGGACACTCTTTAGGCAGGGTTCAATAGCCCGGGCTGCGTGGATGCGAACCGCAGCCACCCCCAAGGCCCAAGGAGTCCTAGACTGGTGGGCTTGATGTCACTTGTGGAAAGAAAGGAAAAGAAAAGGGGAAGAATGGAAATAGAGGCTTGGTGGGAAGGAAGGAAAGGAGGAAGAAAGGAGGGAGGGAGGGAGGGAGAGACTGGGAAGCCTGGCTGACTACTCCATAAATGGCCCAAGGGCACAAGGCTTGCCTCTTTGGTTCTCACTTCTGGAAGGGTCCTCTCTGAAGTCCTCAGATGACAGGGTGCAATTTTTTATGTTCTAATCCCCCCTCCCCAAGAGGGCTCTTTTGTCACATTTATTGTGGCTGACTTCCTATCTGTGGAATATTTCCCATAAATCCAATAATTTCCAATACTGCAATGTTCCTTTGGTGGCATAAGGACATAGATTTAGGTGGACTAAAGGACAGGCAACTACAAAGACGCCTATAATTCATGTCTGAGGGCACAGCTCTGGACCCAGGCTATAGCCCTGAGTATAGTCTAGCCGGCTACATGCAGAGGTGTAAGGGGAGGACAAGTTAGGGGCCAGGTGACTGCAATTCCTACACCCCTGCCTTAAAGATGGCTTCACAAAGAACTCCTAGCGAATGTCCCATGTCCTACTATGATTTAGAAGAAGCTTTGCCACTGTTTTATGTAAAAGCAGAGCAGGAGCTCCTCCTGAAAGAGCCACAAAAGAAAAAAAAAACCCAGCTGATAGTGAAAGACAATTATATTAAGAACATTATCTCACATGAAATGAAATCAATATAGGGCCTCAATTGTCTCTCCGCCCCCAGTTCCCTCTTCATTTTTTTAAGGACAAGGAATGCTCCCTACCCTTGTTTGGCTTAGGGCTTTAGGCTCACCATTGTTCTCCATCCCTATGGCGTTTTCTTGTCTGAAAGAAACTGATCACATTTACAGTCATAAATGCACATTAGAACTCCAAGGCATAAGCTAGCACTTGCCATGTCCCAACATTGCAGATTTTTGAAAAATATCATAGGGATGAGAGCAAATTTCCTTTTCTTTCCCTTTCTTATCTTGGGATGCTCTTCTTCAAAAGGATTGTAGTTTGTCTAATTGCAACACGTATGTGTTGATGGGGGAGGGGTTCCCCACCAAATTCAGTTTGAACTTAGAATTCCAGGTTGTTAAGGGATTTCTGTTGCCTTCTTATTCACATACATGGGTAGTAGAAATGTATTTAGATTTCAATATTCCTTTCTGTCTGAAACAATTGGAGTTATGTTTAATATCATTCAAATGGTTTTGTGGTTAGGAAAAAAATGCCCAAAACACCCTAAACATGACAGTACTATAAACAGACCACATGTGCAGACAGATACGTAGAACGCAGTGGCCAACACAAACACATTTCTGGCCCATGCAGCTCCTGACTTCTGATTTGCATTGTTGGATTTCTGAAAACTTTGTCCTTAATCGCCTGCATAGGACTTCACTAGCCGGTTATCAAGGGGCCAAAGAGGAGCAATTTTCATGGTCGAAATAATTTTATTTATCCAGAATATACAGTTTAATTCCTCTATCTACACTTATTTACAAGGTTAAGATAACATTGAAAAAAGTCTTTTGAAAAGTTGAGGTCATAGATTTCAAGGCACCATTGATAGTGTCCACAGTTGCGCAAAAAAAAAAGGTTTTTTTTTCGTAAAAAAGGGGGAGGGGGTCCTTTGAAATGCAATAACTTACATGCAAAAAAAAAGCTTTACACATGAATTTTTTGTTGTTGTTGTTGTTTCCATTTTCCAAACATCCCCGTATGAATTCCTTCCTTTCTGATTTCTAAAACAGCGAAACACTGTAGTCCCAAAACTGAGCAAGACAGAGAGAGCAAGCAGCCCATTTAATAGAGCGTCCCGGAGGCCAGGGCCAGCGGGTGCTGCAAGGAGCCCGGCGGCGGCGGCAGGTGGGAATTGATTGAGCTGGCTGCGCTTGGGTACCAGGAAGCCGAGTTCTCCAGGTAGCTGGAAGCGGGGGACTGGTTGGAGGTCGGAGGGTGGGCATGAGGGTGGTGGCTGAGAGAGCGGGATGAGCCCTGGGGCTCCCACACCGCTGGTGACTGTGGCGAGTTACACGCCATAGGGTCGCTGGAGCTGGGACTGTGCTCCGGGGGCATCTCCCCGTTTTTCATGATCTTCTTGATCTTGGATCTTTTGTTCTGAAACCAGATTTTCACCTGGGTGGGGGAACAAAGGCACATGTTACCGGGACACTCAGAGGTTGCCCGCGCCTTTCCCTGGGCAGTGAATGAAGGCGCTCGCACTTTCGGTCCCTAGACTAGCCAGTCTCGGTATCTCCCAGCAGCTCTCCACCTATCGCCACGATGCGACAGCCTCAGCCTGTGCAAAAGAATCCGGTTCACAGAGGGGGCCCTGGCCATCTCCGGCAGCACCAGGCTTAAGCTAGGGTGCGACCCCAAGGCTTTGTCTTCTATTCTCTCTGGACCTGAGTGCTCCTTGGGCCTGTGCACCAGAGCACCGAGGAAGCCACCCTTTCCTACTCGAAGGCTAGGGCTCCAGGGGCTAAGGGGTGTGGGCTAGACTGAAGGCGCAGTGTGCCGAGGGAAAATAGCGATTTCCCAACCTCCTGCCCTACTCCCTTCACTCCCCTCGGCACTGGGAGGCCAGACTCTTCCTGAAGCTCTGGGCGGCGACTTGAACATTCTTTATTCTAGGCCCCAGACGGTTGGAGTGGGAGGGGAAAAGGGGGGCAATCTAGGAAGGTTTCCCCGTACAACAGCGCCCCCCACCTCGCGACCCTCAGGCTGCTGCGGGCTTCCAGCTGCCTCAAGAATAGGACACGACCGGGACCTTAGGATCCAGGCCTTTGCGTGGCCGGAGACAACCGCCAGGCCACTATGCCTGGAAGCTTCTCAAATATTTCTTTAGAACGCGCGCGTGCGAGAGAAATTTCCCCCACAAATACCCCTCCCCTTGTTTTCTCTCTGGAACACTGGTCTCCAGACCTGGGTGGCTAAAAGAGACGGGCAACTCGGGACAAACGACGAATCCCGCGCCCACCGCCACGTGTCCTTAGCAGCAGGCCTGGCTCAAGGAGGGTGGGATGCAAGGGCTAGTGTATTTCTATGTGTAAGTGTCTAGAGACTCGGCTCCAGCCAGACGGGACCGAACCACGCGGCCCAGCCCGGCTTGCAGGCCAGGCGGGGCCGGTACCCGGCGGCGGCCGGATTTACCTGTGTTTGCGTCAGTCCTAGAGAGGCAGCCAACTCGGCGCGTTCTGGCAGGGCGAGGTACTGAGTCTTCTGAAACCTTCTCTGTAATGCGGCCAGCTGAAAGCTGGAATAAATAGTCCTGGGTTTACGAACTTTCTTTGGTTTACCATTCACCATCCTCACCTCTGGCTCCGCCACTTCTTTCTCTAAATAATCAAAACAGACTAGGTTAGAGCTCCTGGGCAGACAATGGCTCTTTTGCACAGGCCCTCAACCCGCTGAGGTTTTGTTTACTTCTAAGAATGTAGTCTCTGCTCTCTTTCCCAATATCACCTTCCTGACTTTTCGAACCTCAGTGAAACTCGTCCCTTCAAATCACACATAGAAGAGCCGGAGAGTCCCCCAATTAATGACTACTGCGTGCTATGAGGCACCCTGTACACAATCAGCTGCTTCTTCGTTTGAGCTATGCTTACTTCTCTCAGACACCCCCACCCCCACCCCCGGATTCACCCTGGGCTCCCTGGCGTTTCTGGAACCTGAATACCCACTCCTTTCCCAGGGCGTCAAGTGAGGAGGCCCTGGGCCATGACCCCGCTTCTGTTGGCGTCTGTTCGGGCGCCCGCAGAGGCTAGACGCTTGGTCAGGGAAGAAGCTGGCCAAGGTCTCCAAAGTTCAAAGACCGACAAGCAAACTATGTTCCTTCACTACAGAGGCAAGCGGTCGGTCGGGGCCGCGGCAGACAGAGAGCCGATTATGCAGCCCCCATAATCTCACTGCAGATCTGCGAGGGCACAGATGTGTCTGGTTTCTTTTACAAATAGACTTAATATGTTCTTGACCAAAAAAAGAAAATCTCCCCCTTATGCACTAGTACAGAGACAGCGAGAGGGATAGACTCAAAGTTCAATCAGATACATTGAAAAGGAATCTGTCGGGAAGATATTTTCGTACTAAAGGGGAGAGAGTCGGGAAGAATTCTCACTGTTAATAAATGCACAGTGCTGGCGGCTCTCGGCCACATGGCCCCATCCCGCCCCCCCCACCCGCCCCCAAGAAGGAGTGGGAGAGCTTGTGTGTGTGAGGCTGCTGCCAGAGGAAGGGTGGAGGATGAGGACTGTGGTCTCCACTCTGCTGGAGCAGGGGAAGCTAATATTAGCAGGGTTATTAATGTGTTGGTGAGCAGAGATCAAAATCGACCAGTTAAACTTCTCCACCGAGACTTCACGCCTCTCATTTACCGCCCAAGCTCACTACCCCACTGTAACTCCCCTCTCTCTCTCTCTCTGAGGAAGTTTCAAGGTGGACGGAAAAAAAAAGGAGATGGCGAGGAAGGAGGAGGCAGACAAATTCTAGGCACCTAAGGTGGGGGTAGGGGGGTGGGGAGAGAAATCCCTCTAACAACGTGACCTCTCAGCAACCCTCCGTTATTTTAAATGGCTTTTTTTGTGTTTGCAAATGCCTTGGATAAACCGCAAAGTTCCCTGCTCGCTCTTCTCTGTCAGGCTGCAGCCCTCAGGCCCTCAGGCCACCCGGTGCGCTGCCGGCACCCGCGCTGCGAGGCCTCGGGGCGCTTCTCAGGCTAATCCAGACTAGATCTCACCAACTCAGCAAGCTCACCCAGAATTCCAACTAACTTTCCTTTTATTACGCAAACACCACTGGGGCTGCTTGACCCCCCCCCTGCGCGCCACCCCCTAGTCTCTTTCCAGCCTAGCTGACTTTCTGGCTAGGCAAGTTAGGAATCCAGTTAAGAAGGGACCCCCGAGGGGCGCGGGAGGGAAAAACACTCGACTAAACCTTCCCAAGGTTCCTCCACTGAAAACCCCCAAATTGCCTAGTGAAATGCTCTCCTGTTTGTGGTGCTGGGCTCCCACTCCCCTCTGCGGAGCGTGCCTTCTAGTGATGCGGACAGCGTAGCCCTCATCTACCACCCCACCTCACGCCTGCCGGGTGACGATGCCCTGGGTACCTGCCTCCCGCCCCCGCTCGCCTACCTGGCTGGCTGGTGGCACTCGGGACGCGGTTGTAGGCGCCGCCGTACTGGTGGTAGGGGCTGGCGTAGCTGTAGTCGGCGTAAGCCTTGGCCGGGTAGCCGGCTGCGGAGCCGTTCACGCCGTGGTACTGGTACTGGTAGGGGTTGAGCGCTTTGCCGTAGGAAGCAGAGGTAGGAGAGCAGTAGCCGTGCGGGGCGGCCCCCGCGGGACTGTAGTAGTCAGAATCGGTGGCCGACGACTCGGGCAAAGTTGGCGATTCCTGAGACGGATGGTGCATGGCGGCAGAAGTCGGGAACGGAGCTTGAAAGTCGCCGGATCGGATGCTGGGAACTCTTCTGTCAAACACTCCTGTCATAGCTCCCGGGCGGTGGCTGTCCTTCTGCTGCGGCGGCCGCTGCTGCCTGAATTGGCTTGGAGCTGCTCTGGTCTAAGCAGACATGGCTGTGAGAGCGAGGGAGGAGGAGGAGGAAGAGGAGGAGGCGGCGGCAGGGAGGAGGAGGCTGGGAGTCGTGGAGGCTCTGTCTCCCGCAGGCTGACTGCTGGCTGAGGCGCAGCACAGCCTTGGTTAAATCCTTAATTGCGCGCTTACGCACAGCGGGGTGGATCGGGTTCCATTGGCCAGGGCCTCGGGAGCAGAGCAACACCCTAACTCGTCCAACTAGTTTTAGCACAACAAAGCATTGCTTAAAAAAAGAGAAGGGGGGTGGTAGTACTGGGATTGTGTGTGTGCGTGTGTGTGTGTGCGTGTGTGTGTGAGAGAGAGAGAGAGACAGAGAGAGAGAGAGAGAGAGAGAGAGAGAGAGAGAGAGAGAGAGAGAGAGAGAGAGAGAGAGAGAGGAGAAAGGAGGAACTATACACGTTGTTGCCTGTTGGGGGAGGGAGGGTCTCAGTCGATCTGTTTTTAGTGAATAGCACAGACAACCCAAGAAGCCCCAGGACCCAACTCTGTGCTTTTTAAAAACAGACCTTGTGTTCCAACAGCAGTTTCAAAAGAATACGTTTAGATGCTGAGGTCCATGATGCTCTTTTCTTGCTCCACACCTACGTGTCCTCTCCTCTTCCACCAAAGGAGACTGTACAGCTGAACACTGATATGGGACTGGGAGTCAAGGAGAAAGAGGAGTGTCAGAGGAAGGTGGGAATAAATGTTTTAGTGGGATATTGGGAAGCAAGTTGTAACTAACCTGTGTTGCAAATTTGTAAATTGGAAAACAGATTGACTTCTGAAGAAGAATATTTCTCAGGACTCCATAGAGATGTCCATTTAGCTGTCCGTGGTAGAGCTCCTGCAACTGAAGTCTTTGCAGGGACTTAAAAACCAGTGTCTTATTCCTGAGTAGCTGGTCGTTGCCTAACCTCTCCTAGCTTGCTTTCCAGAAAAGCTGAGCAGCCCTGTTTTTGTTCAATAGTCTCATCTGTTTGGAAGCTTCTAAAACTGACTGTGTCTCAGTTCAGTAGTCTGATTATTACAAAAGTGAATTGATTCAGGTATGTGACCTATAGATTCTCCAGACCAAATGGCAATGTGAAGACCAGAAAGTAGACAGGGAAGAAAGTCCTCTTACGAGGTGGGATTATGTCCACTGATGACCCTGGATTGGTTCCATTGCCTATACACACTCCATGTCCTTTTCAATTGCCTAGTTTGTGTTCCTGTACATTCCCCCTTTATTTCTTGCCTAGTGAGCATCTTAGTTCCATACATACATACATACATACATACATACATACATACATACACACATACATATATGGAGACAGGGCTCATACATTTGACACAGGCCACCAAAAGAAGTTTATTTTGTCACCATGTGCTTTTACTCTCCTTATGACTGAGTGGGGGTTTAGGAATGATGATCATAATCCTCACTTGTGCTCTGTTTCCACTCCCCTCAAAAATGTAACTCCGTGAGTTGTATCCTGTTCTGGGCTTCCTTTTGTCTTATTCTTGGGGGCTCCATGACCAGGAACCTGGGGGTGCCATTGAATATTCAGGGTGGGATCTTCTGGCTCCTCATACTCTTCTGCCAGTGGAAGGAGGAAAAGTCTGCCTGAGTTTTGCTAATGCTACTTTAGCCTTATTTTGGCTACAGAGCTACCAGGGGCCTTAAACCCTGTGTCAGAGAACTGGAAGAGGGATGGCGGTCCCTCTCTGGAATCTGGAGTTCCCATTGGAAGCAGCAACATAAGCATGAACTCCCAGCCATACCCTCCTGGGCCCCATAAAAACCACAGCTACTGTTGCTTTCCTTGACTGGACAATTTCAGCTTTTCTGAGCTCGAGGGAACTAGCATTCAGCAGGGCCTCCCTTTCCTACATTTTGAGTTTGCAGTCTTGGTGTACCTGGATTACCCTTCTAATACAGATGGGGCTGGGGGGGGGTGCTCAACAAATGTCCACTGTCCCTTGGTCCTGATCCCATGCAGTTGATTTTTATGCCATTGCCCAGGTTCTAGATTTAGGCTGTGAGTGTCTTCAAGGAGACAAAGACACTGCTGACCTTGTTGGGTGTGATCTTGGCCTGCTATGGAGATGCTCACCTAGCCCGTGGAGTTGCCTTAGACACAGGGAGCCTAATTGTACAAATCTCTCTTCCAAATCAATGCCTTGGGCTGGTCAAGTGTTTACAGGTAAATAAAAATGGTACACAGAGAGATGGGTGGTCCCTCTACTGCCCAAAATTCTGTTTAATTGGGATTTAAATGCAATACCCAGGAGGAAAATAAGGTCAGGATGGTCTTCATCAACAGGATGAGTCTATCAGGACTCTCACAGCTTCCTGAGAAGGCAACATCCCATGAGACTGGTACTGGAAACTGCAGACATACTTCAGAATCTGGTTGAAGGCAAGGTTAGAGTGGTAAGATAATTCTAGATATCGCTACAATTCACTTACTACCTCCTCTTTTCAGTGGACACACACACACACACACACATACACACGTTTTTTTATGAACTTCAAAAAAGAGTGGGGGGTGAGAAAAGGATGCAATGTCTTTAGTCTTTACCCAGAGTGCTGAAACATTGGCTTTTATGCAGATGCGAGTCCCCTGTATCAAGTCCAATTCAGGGTGAAATCACCAAATTTTGGTGCCTCTTTGAAATTCACCGGTCTCAACTTTCTTGGCTGCTTTTCTGAGTTGAGCTCTGTTCTCTTACCATTTCTTAAATGCAGCCCAGAGAGGGTCACTGTAGACAGCTTGGAGTCTGCTCACAATATATAGTCCCATTTCATTTCACTAATACACTCTTGTGGTCTGTGAGCTACCAGCCCCATCGGTGAGTCTGATCAGCACGTTGGACACATACTCCAAACGATACTCACCTCCGGGGTCAGAATTTTTGCTGGTGTTGGGGAGGCAGTTCTGACACCGAGGCCTCAAGTGTTGTCCTAAGGCCAGTGGTGGGACACTATTGCTTCTCAAATCTCAACTGACCCGACCTCATAGAAACAGTTCCAAGGCACCAAACTCCTCCAGCAACACGCTCTCCCTGAGACATGTAGGGAGCATATAATTTCATCTTTGGGTAGCTGAAATTTGCAAAGGATATGTGGTGGCGTTGGTGGGGTAGACCCTAAAGAAGTACAAGCCTTTACCACGAGCGCCACCCAGTGTCCTCCTGGAACAGCATGCCGACAGGAAACTTTCCCAGCTCAAAATCTTGCCAGGCTGGTCCTAAAAGGCCCACTTACCTGGTGGTCCCGCTTTGTCTCAATTTCCAATAAACCCCTTTCTCCAGACCGTATTCTTTCCTTTCCTTTCGTTCCTACAGATTCAGCTTTTCTTCTTTCATTTCAATGTATTACCTTTGTTGTTGTTGTTTTGGGCAGGAAGGGGTGGGGGAAATCTCTGTCTTTCAGTTCTCATGTGTTGATATCATACTGACAGTTATCTTCACAGCAGGGGTGATTGGAAGACACCGAGAGCCACGCTCTTTCTTACACAATCTGAGGAAACACTCCCCCTTTTCATCCAAATGAGGGGCCAGGCAGGCTTCTGGTCCTTCACTGTTCTAGAAAAGAGAAGAATGGTGTGTCACTCTGAGTCTGCACAGTAAATGTGTTATGGAAAGGGTGTGTGAGGGTGTGCCATTTTATTTATTCACTTATTTAGATCTCATATATTCCTGGCTGGTCTCGAACTTGCTATATAGTGAAAGATGGTGTGGAGCCAGTGATCTAACTCAGGGCTTCTGTTTGCCCACTCTACCAGCTGAGCTAAAGTAACCCCCATAGTAAATAAAGGTCAGATAAACTCAATAACAAATAAAGGTCAGATGAACTTAATAATAAATAAAGGTAAGAAAAATTTAATACCAACATTAACTCTTTTTCCCTTTATGCCCCATCTGGAAATATCTTTAAACGGGGATAAAGCACCCCTTATTTTGGGTGTCAGACTCATTTCAATGCACATAAAATATCTAAAGTTTTGTGTTTACACAGCATTCAGATGCACACAATTCAAGCAAAGGACTGCATAATATATTTTGGTGTTATGTATGCACACTTGATATAAGCAAGTCTGTCTTGGTCTCAAATATATACTGGGGGCATGTCTGTCTTTAAAAGTCTGGTTCTTTGGCTGATACTTATTTGCAGTGTTTCACCCATTGCTTTTTCTTTGCTAGCAGGGAAGTTCTCTGTCATGTCATTACAGATCATGATTCATTGAGGACATTTTTGTTCATTCTTTCAAGGCAGGGTTCCTCTGTGTAGCCTTGGCTGTCCTGGAACTCACCCTGTAGATCAGGCTGGCCTCAAACTTAGAGATCCACCTGCCTCTGCCTTCCAAGAGCCAGGATTAAAGGCATGACCTACCATGCCAAATTGAGGCTTTTATTTTTATTTTTGTTTTTTATTCCACAGATCTCAAACACGAGAATGTTTAAGTCATGTTCTGCAAAAGTAGATCTGAGTAACTATTCTATTTTCAATACCACTAATTTTATTTTGAAATAGAGCACTATGATTGTTTAATAACCTAGTAAGTCATTAAAGCAATAACTCTAAAATATGTATGATGGCTGCATGGAAAACTGTCCCATGTATTGGTAAGGTAAGATGTGAGCAGTGACTGCACACACAGAAAGGGCTTTTCAGCACGTTACAAGTGTCTGATCATTGGCTTTGGTAACACAAGTGAATGGGCTGGGTCACCTGCCCTAGTCAAAAATGACATTCAGAAACAGATCTTCTTCTGAGTTTGCAAGACTATTTAGCTCCCCATCTAGGATCAAAGGTTTTGCTATCTGTGTAGCCCAAGTCAACGTGTTTAGAAGCCTATATGAACTGACATGAACTCACGCTGGGAGGGATATGAGAAGAAAAGAAGGGAGGAGGCACTAGGAAAACAAAAGGAAAAATTCCTCGCGTGCACAATTTCAACACCCCTTACCTTTGCTTAAAAAATATGTCTGGAGTTAGAGATCATCTCCAGCAAAATAACCTCAAGGGCTCAATATTAGGTAATTATATAGATATTCGGAACAAAAACTACCCAGAGGCAAAAACTATTTTCCACTCAATTCTAACCTAATAAGAGTTTCTGCTTATTTCAAATGATAGTGTGTATCATAGAGTTATACATATTTTGTTTTTATAATTAAGACATGAAAGTGTGTTTATTCATTTAGCTTAAACATAACTATTTAGGAACACACATCAAGTGTCCTCTCGAGTGTATTCTATATGAGATGAATCTCACAGCACAGCTGAAAGCACTTCAAGTTTATCTAAGCAGGAAGTAAATGGCTTTCCATTATTATGTGTCTTTGCAAATACACATTGAGGCACATTCTTCATCCTGCGCTCAGATGATCTTCTAAAAGTTTGGGTGTGCTGAGCTGAACAAGGGGAGATCTTGAACCCCAGACTGATGGCTGAGAGACCAGCATGGAACTGATCCAGACTCCCTGAATATGGGTGTCAGTGAGGAGGCCTAGGCAATCTATGGGGCTTGGGGTAGATCAGTATTTATCCCTGGCATACAAATGGACTTTGTGTGCCCATCCCAATATGAGGGATGCTTTCTCAGCCTGGACACTTGGGGGAGGGCCTAGGCCCTGGCCTGAACGAAATGAAAGATTCTGCAGATGCCCCATGGAGGGCCTCACCCTCCCTGGGGAACAGAGTGGGGGTTGGGTGGGGCTGGTGGGGGGGTTGGGCAAGGAGGGGAGGGAGAGGGAGCTGGGACTGACATGCGAAACAAGCTTGTTTCTAATTTAAATATAAAATAAAAAAGAAAGTTTTACTGTGATACTATTTATATAACATTTATTCTTCTTAAGTGTACACAAATATTCCCATTTAAATGCCCCTTGTAACACCCGGGAGAGCAGGCTCTGCACCTGGCCTGTGCAGCACACTAGAGTTAACTCTGTTGGCAGAGGGGTGGGTGAGCACGAGCTTGTGAGAACTGTCCCCACTACTCATCTGTCTTGTGGCAGCCCAGGCAGGCTTGAGATGCCACTCCCTCCATCAACACCTGAGGCAGATACAAGAGGTGGCCCTGAGATCATAAGAGGGGGCGAGCTGTCCCTGCCCCTCATCAGCAGCAGCACTCAAGAGAATGGCCCTTACACCCGGACTGGGCAACACAGTAGGGTTGTAGGTGTGGGTGTGGGAGAAATGATTCTGCGTACTAGAAACTGGAGGACTGGCCCGGCCCCTTGTTCACCACTGCAAGGGTCAACTAGCCAAGGCAATGCTGGAGAGCTCACCCTGGGGGCAAAGACGGGGGGGGGGGGCAGGCTGACCAACCTTTTAACTACCCAGGCCCAGAGCCAAGGTTGGCCCACCCCAACTTCCACCCTATCTGCTGGATCATGGGGTGGGGTGGGGTTGTCAGTCCCGTGGACCCAAGGCTGCAGGATCTCCACAACACAGGCCAGCAACAGGATGTCCAGGAAGAGTCCCAGCGACAGCCCAGCATCGATGATGTAACAGAGACCAGGGGCCTTGAACCAGACCGATGATTCTTTGTGATAAACCCCTGCATGTAAAAATGTCTGGATAAAGGAGATTACTGTGTGACTCATTATGCCACACTACAGCTTCCATGGTAAGATTTTTTCTCCTTCCCTTTTTTTCTTTTAAAATTTTTTTTGTTTATTTATTTTTTGGTTGGTGGCAGGGGTGGGGGGGATCAGAAGGCATGATGTGAAAAACAAAAAGAATAAAATAAAAAATGATTTAAAAAAATGCCCCTTGTAGCCTGATGGTGGTGATTCATGCCTTTAATCCTAGCCCTTCATAGGCACAGGCAGGCGGATCTCTGTGTGAGTCTACAGAGCTAGTTTCAGAATAGGCTTCAAAGCTACAGAGAAACCCTGTCTTGAAAAACAAAAAATAAACAAATGCCCCAGTACAGTTGAGGAGATAGGAACTGTTGGATGGGAATGCAGCAACACTGTAGCAGCATACCCATTCTAAGAGTAATTTAGAATCTTAAAAGGTAATTGGCTTGTTAATGTGCTCCGGGCATGAATGAGAAATCACTTAATGAGTACTCACTTAAAGGCCGAGATGGCATCATGAGCCTATGACCCCAGTGCTGGGGAGGCAGAAACAGGGAGATCCCAAGGGCTCCTTGGCTAACTAATATAGTCAAATGGCAAGTTCCAGGTTCACTTAGAGATTCTATCCAAAACGAAACAACAAAAACAAAAACAAAGGTGAAAAGGTAAATAAAGCAGACACCAAGTATTAACCTTTGGCTTCACATGTACACACTCACATACAAACACATGTATGTCATAACACACACACATACACACACACTCACACACACACACACACGTGCACGCACGCACCATGTGAAGATGTGGGGAACTTTATGAAGTCAGATGCACTCAGAGTATTCAAATACTGTGAGCCAGGTAAAACTTGCAGAGCAAGGAAGGGCACAAAGGCAGATGCTGTAATTTTATGGAACTTTATTGCACTTAATTATATCATTTTTAATAGACTAAAACAAACAGAAAGAAAACACAAAACCTTTTTCTACAGCTGTGTTTATCGCCTTATACCTTTTATAAAGAAAAAATAATCTTAAACAGGCAACCCCAGCCTGAGATAAGAGGTTCCCCTGCTGTGTGGCACAGCATAATCAGGAGAAGGCACAGTGCCCACCTGGACTCACAACCCTCTGTGTTCCTGCAGAAGAAAATGACAGCAACAGAGAAGAAAAGTCAATCGCTTTCCCCAGTGCAGTGCAGCTGACGCCGCGGTGGAGCCTCTTGTTAAAGCCGTGAGCAGGAAGGATGGGTTCCTTGCTGCCAGAATCTTCTAGTAGCACTTGACTTAGTGAGTCGACTCTGTGTTTGCAGATCTTACATCCTTAGAGTCAATGAACCTTCCACCAAATGTATTTCTGAAGAGAAAGTGCGTGTGATGAAGATCTAAGGCGTATTCTTGTCGTTATTCTATGGATATATAGCATGCACACTGCGTTAGTCAGAGGGACTGTTGTAATTTTAAAAATGCCCCAAAGAGAAATTACGCCATACAACAGGACTCACATAGGAGGCTTATTGGAAGAGGAGAGAGAAGGGGCAGAAAAAGGGGCAGACAGGGGCCAGAGACCAGTCCCTGGCGAAAGAGTGGTAGGAATGAAGGAGAAAGTGAGGGGGTAGAGGGAGGGAGGGAGTGAGGGAGGGAGGGAGTGAGGGAGGGAGGGAGGGGAGAGGGAAAGAGAGAGAGATAGGAGGCGGACAGGGCCCTTTGAAAACGGAATGTAGTGAATGTGCACAGGTGGTTCTCTTAGTGGCTTCAGCTGAGGGTGTATCCTTTCAGAACCCCAAGGGCAGGCCAGTACAGATGTCTGAAGACTAACAGGGGCCTAGAAAGGGTATAGATAGGTTATGTGCAAATATTATGCAATTTTATATAATGATGTTGAGCTGACATGGAGGCTGGACACAGTTAAAACCAATCCTTAGCAGACAGAGAAATGATCATCTAGTCATGGGAGGCAGTTATTCCAAATTCACTTTTTCAACATTAAATCTTGAATAATTTCCATGCCACAGTGTGAGGAGAGTGGGGTCTCTGGTCTTACTTGCAGCAAAACATTTGTAAATATATACATTCATGTCAATTTATCAGTTCACAATGATTCTTAAGTTTTGATGTATAATTAATTACATGTACCCCATGGGCTTGTGCATTTCTATAAACTACCAAGAAAATTGAGGAGCATGTAGTTGCTGCTGTAGATTTTCAAGTAGGTAAGTTACTATGTTGTACACACTTTAGTTCAAAATGGGATTTAAAGATGTCTGGAATTTTTTTCTTACAATTTTTAGGAATTCTTGGAGCCACGGATAGGAAGGTACTTATGAAACTTCTGAATTTCAGATAGCAACAGAATATATGTAGACATCACACTAAACCTTATGGGAAAATGTGAAGGTATATGTAGATGAACAAGCCAAATAAGCAAATGACAGACATGAGCTAGGATAGCTGTGTTCACATTTGGAAGAATAGGATATGTTACTGAGTTGGTTATTTTCCCTGTAATTTCCCATTACCTTCTTTGTTATTTGAGTGCTTTGGAGTTTACTATTGTAATGGTGTCCCCCCCACCTTCCTTGTCATTTAAGAATTTCAGACATCTTTGCTCTGAATCATATTATGAGCAACTGAGCCAGACGGCTGTCAGTTAACCTGGAGAGAGGGAAGGGAGTTTAAATTTACTTCACATAGCCCTGGCTGTCCTGGAATTCTGTAAACCAGGCTGGCCTTGAACTCAGAGATCCACTTGCCTCTATCTCTGAAGTGCTATGATTAAAGGAATGCACCCCCCCCCCTGTGGGCCTTTAATTGTGGTGTGTGTGTGTGTGTTGTAAACTTTATTGACAGTATTCAAGAGAGTAGTGCTCCCTAAACCCTTCCCCTTCTTCTGGGGGTCTAGGATGGAAACTGTGGGGAGATGCTCTGTGTTGGGGGCTGAGTTGGTACAGGGGCTGCTCAGTAGCTAAGGGTCTCTCATTCCTCTCCTGTCCTTGTTGAAGCAGGTGGTCCAGGACTTCTTACTCTTTGGAAGCCATGTAGACCATGAGTTCCACCACCCTGTTGCTGTAGCCATATTCATTGTCACATGAAGAAATGAGCTTTACAAAGTTGTCCTTGAGAGCAATGCCAACCTCAGCAGCAAAGGTGGAGAGTAGGTGTTGCCCTGGTCCTCAGTGTAGCCCAGGATGCCTTTTAGTAGGACCTCAGAGGCCTGTTTCACCATCTTCTTGATGTTGTCGTACTTTGTAGCTTTCTCCAGGTATCGTGTTACACACTGGGGTTAGGAAAATGGGAGGCTATGCCAATGAGCTGCCCATTCAGCTCTGGGATGACCTTGCTCACAGCCCTGGCAGCACCAATGGATGCAGGGATGATGTTGTGGGCAACCCTAGGGTCATTATACCACAGCATCTCAAAGGGGTCATTCACAGTCTTCTGGGTGGCAGTGATGGCATGGACTGTAGCCATGAGTTGTCCACAATACCAGATATCATGAATGATCTCAGCCAGGAGAGTTAAGCAGTTGGTAGTGCAGGCAGCATTGCTGACAATCTTGTGTGGGTTGTCACCTTCTCATGGTTCACACCCATCACAAGTATGCGGACAGCAGCAGTCAAGAGGCAGAGATGATGACCCTTTTGGCCCCACCCTTCAATGGGTCTTGGCTTTCTCCATGGTGGTGAAAGCATCAGTAGACTCCACAACATACTCAACACCAGCATCACCCCCATTTGATGTTGGTGGGATCTCAGTACTGGAAGAAGCTGTTGGTCTTCCCATTGATGACAAGGTTCACCTTTCTCAGCCTTGACTGTTTTGTTGAACTTGCCATGGGTAGAGTTATATTGGACCATGTAGCCGAGGTTAATGAAGGGGTCATTGATGGCAACAGTCTCTATGTTGCCAGGAAAGAAGCCCTGGTAATCAGGTACCCAGTCAAATTCCTTCACTCTGACCTTTACCATCATGTCTCAGGAATGAGGCTGGTATTGCAGGAGAAGATGTGACTGTCTCTGGAACATGAAGGAACAGAGAGCTGAGCCTTTCCATTTTTTAAACATTTTTACATATATGTGTGTGCCTCTGTGGGTTTGTGCATGCAAATGCAGTACCCTCAGAGTCCAGAAGAGGCATCAGGTTCCCTGAAGCTTAACTTGGAAGCTCCTGATATAGGTTCTGGGAATGGAATTCAGATCCTCTGCAAGAGCAGTGTGTTCTTAACTGCTGAGCCATCCCACACTCCCTAGGACATTTCTCTATTAGTACTGAGAAAAGTAAATGAATCAGAGAGTATCTTTGTTACCATGAAAATATTTTAAAGAGAATTACTCCTGTTAATTATGCATACAGCTGAGATACAGGTCAGGCCGTAAGTTTCCCAGTTTATAAGAACAATGACTGAGATTAGAAGAGAAACACAAAAGCAAAAAGCAGAATTATGAAGCTCTCTGCTCGTGAGAGTAATTAATAAAGTGATGAACAAGAGACAGCTGTTTTTTTAAAGATAGTTCTTGGGAGAACACCTCTGAAAGAAGTCAGAATGAACTGGGCTGTGGATATTGATGGTGGATCACTTTAAAAACCTGTTTATTTTGAAATGTGTGAGTTTTTGCGTGAACGCAAGTATGTGTACCACATGTGTGACTAGTGCCATTTGGAGTGAGAAGAGGGTGTCACGTCTTCTGGAATCAGAGTTAAGGGATGGTTATGAGTTGCCATGCTGGTGCTGGGAACCAAACCCAAGTCCTCAGCAAGAGCAAGTGTTCTTCATTGCTGAGCCACCTCCCCAGCCCCATCATGGTTCACTTCTTCATGATTCCTGGGACATTCGTCTCCCACCTTGCACCAAATACTATTCTATAATTTTTTTCTGTTACAGATTGGGCCATGTCTCTGCCCCTGGATTTACGAGGAGCACTGGGCATGGGTTCCGAAGGTTCTACAGACTTCAAGTGCTCCCCCCACCCCCACCCCTGCAGAGATTTTGCAGATATTCACATTTACTTTCACAGTGGCCTTGAGAAGTAGCTATTCAGTGTTTATGTATTTGCCTTTCATTAACTTGAACTGCCTCACATTCCACAGTGACACTCCCACCTCACCATTTCTTGGTGGGTTTGGGCAGTGCGGTGGTGGCATTGCCATTGCCAGTGCTGTTGGTAAGGGATGTGGCCTTTGAGGACTGGTATGAACAATGCAGACATCTCCCACTACCTCTCACTAGGCCTATGAATAACGGCTTCCTGCCTCTGGGTGAGCCTTCTATCTAATTCAGCCTGCCTAATCTCTTTTCTTCCTATTGACAATCTTGCAACCCTCTCTCTATGACTGTGGAGGCTAGACATTGGGCTGCTGGTGTAACATTTAGCTCTAGCTTTTGCAGCCCAATTGCTCCTAAAAGACATGTCTGCTCAGCTCTGCTATGCGCATGGGTGATAAATCATCTCATCACTTTCCAGGTGATCGAGAGATAGAGACAGGTAGTCCTGAGAAATACACAGTTGGAGATTATGTATGTAGTAAGGTTTCATGTAGCCTAGGGTGGCCTCAGATTCACACACACACACACACACACACACACACACACACACACACACACAGATCGAGAGAGAGAGAGAGAGAGAGAGAGGATAGTCTTTCCTTTTTAAATATAAAAATTATCACAATTAGACATTAATATGCACTATTTTGCTTGTGTTTGCTGCTTACAAGAGCCAGCACAGAAATGCCATCATTATCTCATGCTATAGAATAATGAGGACAAGAGAGGATAGGACACTTAATTATCAATCCATGGCAAGTAAGTTGATTGCATGAAAAGTGTCTGACATCCCAGGTATCTAGTTCAGACACTAGAATAACATTCCTATTGATTATCTCCTCTTCTGTGTATTCTTAGACAGTTACAATGATGCTGTATTGCTGGCAATAACTATTTATGGCAAGTGTCATTTTCTTTTTGTAAATTCTATTTATTTCTTTTTTCCTATTTATTTATCTAGAATGACAGCAATAGATGTTAGCAGTCACTGAGTTAGGAAACTGAACTGATCCCAGCATGGTAACTTATGACTTTAGTCCTAGCACACAGGAGACAGAGGCAGGCAGGAACTCTCTGTGAGTTCAAGGAGGCCAGATTGGGCAAGTTCCATAAAAATCAGGGATCCTGACTCAAAAAAACAATAGCAATAAAAGAGGAAGCAGTTGGTATTAGGCTGTGTATGTAGAGTTTGGGAGTATTAAAGTTAGAACAAGGGAGGCCTGAGGCAAGATGCTCTGACAGGAAACATAACGCATTAACGGATGCCAAAGTTTGCGAAGTAAAAAGTTAAGTTGAAAATGAGTAGATAATAGCTAAGGTACAAGGTACAATTGGAATGATGGAAAAATTTCCAATGTTGTGCAGAACACTAGGATAGCTATGATAGACAATGGTTAACCATGAATTTAAAAATAGCTAGCAGGGTTTGAATCTTCTCAATATAAAGAAATGATACATGTCTGAGGTGATGGATATGCCAATTAGCCTGATTTGCTAATTGCATATTATATACATGGATTGAAATGTCTCATGGTATCCCACAAATATGTACAATTACTGTGTCAATTAAAAATTAAAAACATATTTAAAAGAGGAAAATCTTAGTTTCAGAGTTGGTGTTAACCATCACTGCACCTGGTCTCTAGAACTGTTTCAACACCCCCAGGAGAGGTGGAAGACATAACTCACATCTGCCTCTGTTTCTTCTTGCCTCTTCCTCTTTACATTCACACACACTTCTCCCATGTGTATCTAGAGACCATCTTGACAAAATTTTCACAGTATTTCTTATCGACGTTATGCGCTGGGTGACAATAAAATTTAACATCCAAGCCAGGTTACTTTTAGAAGAGAAAGAGAGATGGCAACAGAAGTCAGCTGGAAAGATCTTGGCCAAGTCTTGATTTTGTGTGTACTTCTAACATGCAAAAATCAAACAATAAAGAAATACCCCCCAAATCCTTTAAGAGTTCTGTCTATTAATACAGAATGACAGAAACTTACCCAGTTGGTGGTGCAAAGATTTTTCTAGATACCGAAGGACTAAGCTATATGGCCTATTATCCATCAGTATAGTGAAGTTCAAGACTATCACCTCATGGTTGTGTGGGTTCTTCACATGTTTGCCCCGATAAAGGGGATGAGAGCTGAAACCCAGCCTGCACCATTGTTACATAGCCAGGTCAATGACAGAACTTCTACATTCAGAACACAAAGGTGGAACCTCAGAATCACCACCCAGTCCAGCCTTCATCTAGCTTTTCATAAGGGCTGATTTTATTTCCCTTACTTCTTATGCTTATTATCTAATAGCCTTGGCAGAAATGTTTGCATATTTTTTTAAAAGGTGCTTGGTACAAATTCCTCATACAACAGAAAACTCCAGCGACTTGAAAGCCAAGGCTTCCAAGTTCTCAATATTATACTGAGAAGCTTCATTTTCTCTTCAGGTTGAACCATCATAAGGGATTTTTGAAATCTACTATATACTGAGAGAGGGTAAATGCTTCTCTTGGTATGGAGTAAAGAGAGGGGTCTTTTCTGTGAAGTGTGACCTCTACAACAAAGATCTCATACACCAAGATTTCTCCAAGGACTGAGACTTCAAGGACTCTTCTCTTACAAAACTTTTAAAATGCACTCTCTGTCCCTGAAAAAGAAATGATTATCTGGTGCAATTAACATTGGGCCACACACCGAAGGAACAATGAACATTTCAAACACAAATTGCTGCTGAGAATCATTGTCCTATTCTGGGCTGATGAGGTTCATGGAGGAAATTAACAGAGAATTTTCGTAAGAACCCTTTGGATAAAGAAAATCAGACGAGGAATGCCAGTTTGTCTTCAAAGCTGCCTGAGCAGATCTGTCATAACAGACATTGCCCCAGATTGTGGAACCCTCTCCTTCTAACATCTTTTAATGGTGGTAGAACTCACAGTGCCATAATCTGCTTTCAGTTTTGACAGTGTTACACGATCTTTGTAGACTTGCACTGACAGCATTTCATCTCAGCATCATTAGATCATCTCACCTGACTTCTGCATGGCGCACATCATTACATTCTGATGGTGCTATCCAATTACCAGTGAAGTGAATAGGGTATTAATGTGATTATTGCAAAAAGTTAGCATGTACAGATATAGCATTCCACTTTTGAAAGCATTGTACAGCTATTAATCACCCTGCCCAATGCTTCTTGGATGCAGTGAAACTTACTTTCCTTCCTTCCTTCCTTCTTTCCTTCCTCTTCCTTCCTTCCTTTCTTTCTTTTCTCTCTCCCCATACCCCCACCTCTCCCTCTCTTCCTTCCTTCCTTCCTTCCTTATTTTCTCTCTCCCCCTTCCCCCATCTCTTCCTTCCTTCCTTCCTTCCTTCTTTCCTTCCTTCCTGCCTTCTTTCCTTTGAAGTAAGATGATGAGAAGAGTTAACCTAGGCAATGTTATGGGACCAGGCAAGGCTGTACTTTTCTTAACTTCCTTGACCATTGTAAACCTAAGGAAGTAGGGTATAAAGATTTGTAGTAATGAATCACTATCCTGAAAGGGTAGACATGGCAAAATTACTTTTCCTTTGGGAAGCCCATCTTTCCTGTTTTCAATTTATGATTGTCATGACAATCAGTGAGAATCAGTTCTAGGTTTTGTGAAGACATTGGTAGATAAGTATAGTGAAATTATTCCAACATTTTATCTTTAACAAAATAGAATTAATTGGTTATAAGAAAAAGCACTCTACTTACAAAATATCCAAAACTATTTATTTATTTATTTAGTTTATGTGAATGCCATGGTATGTACGCGGATGTCAGAAGACAACCTGATGGACTTGGTTCTCTCCTTTCACCATGTGGGTCCCAGGAATCAAACTTATGTTTTCCAATCTCCATGGCATGTATGTTTAGTTGCTGAACCATCTTGCCAGCCCAAACATTTAACTTTTAGCTGTTACTCAGAAAATAGCACAATAGAGTGATGAGCTATAAAAAAACTTTAGGGCCATAAAACCTTAAATACTGATCTTCAATATTTCCTTTACCTACTCTCTGAAATGGTGGACTAAAACAATGTCCTCTCATTGACATCCCAGCCCCAGGTGAGATGTAGATAGGGCAAACGGTTTGCTGCCTGCCTTTTTGTAAATCTTGTAATTCATCCTGGTTTCGAATTTTCAAGGGATGAAATAAATCAGCTGTATGTGCTGCTAAGAGTTTTGTAAATCTTAAGAGCTTCTGTTTTCTCATTTATACCATTGTTAGGTAAATATCACAAAGATTGTCACGAGGGTGAAAAGAAGCAATAGACATTTCATTCTTAGCTTAATGTTCGGGCCTAGTAGAGATTCACGGAAGTACAACTTCCAACAGCTCATGGGAACTAGGGTCTGGGAACTAAGGTAGGAACTGTGGTGGCTTGACATTGGCCCTTTCAGGGACATTTCTGTACTCTTGGTCCTTCTTCTGTGGCCTAGGACAACTGTTGGAAGTGTAATTTTCCTTATAAAACATTGATTCAGCAGTGCAAGGTAACTGTGGTAGAGGGTACAGTCAGAGTATCCTTGACTAATATACTTTTACCGAATCTTCCTCCATCCACCTGTGAAGAAAGAAATCAAAGGAGAAAATACTAATTCCATTTTAAGTGGACTAAGAACATCTGAAATTTCATCTATATCTGTATATACTGGCCTACTGATAGCTATAACTATTCTGTGACAAACTAGTATCTTTGTTTATTGGGGGATGGTAGGAACATATACATGTGGGGAGGTCAGAAGATGACCTTAGGTGTCAGGTACCTTCCTTTTTCCCCATCTTTGAGACAGATGCTTTTAAAAATTTGTCTGAACTGGGTAGCAGCATGCGGAGACCAACTTGTTTCCCGCTCACGTTGCACCGCTGCTGAGATTTCAAGTGTGCACCACTTGGATTTTTATGGGGATTCTCAGGATCTGAAGACAGCTCTTCATCTATGTGAGACAAGTGCTTTACAACTAACTGAACTATCTATCTCTCCAGCCCCTGAACTAGTATTCTTTAATCAAATGGGTTTTTATTAGCAGCATTGCATCTACAGCCTCCCCTTAGACCTTGAAATTTTATTTTTCCATGCCCAGCTTGAGTGCCTAATTTCCAGCTACCTCACACATTGCGACTGCAATCAATATCGATAATGGTACTCTTACCTCTAGTCTCTGGGCTCTATAGAGAGTCTTCATCAGTGGTAGTTGTTCCCCATAATATGGACTCCATGTGAACTGTTTCAACCCTGTCCACCAGGCAAGCAATGACAGATCTTTTTACACCCCCGTTTCCTGTCACTTTTGTCTTGTTTATTGAGCCCTTTTGAGTTATTTCACATTCTCTGGTCACACTTTGTACCTCTACATCTTCTATTATTCCACCACTACCCATGTGAGGACTTAATGTAACAATAAAATGTTATTCTAGATGCTTTAGGTAGAAAGGGATTTAATTGAGGATATTAGATACTTTCAAAGAGTCAGAGACTGGAGTGAGAGTCTAAGCGATTGTCTAGATACTATTACAGGAGCACTGGGGAAGCTGGGGTTTGGATGACTGAACACAGGCAGGGCACACCGGTGGAGCACACTCAGAGATGCAAGGCTGCTGCAATCGCTGCTGCTCTGGTTACCTCCCAGAGAAAGATGTTGGAGGAAAAATAAAAACACTAGGATGCAGTTTTGGAGAAAATTCTCCCAAATTTTTTATTTCCGTAGCCTATCACTGGCAGAGAAGAAGTACACGGGATATAAAAGCAGGCTGTCCTTCATGTCTGTTTTCTAGACTGAAAATAAGGCATGCCATTTACTCCACGTTACAGAATCCTATCTGCAAAGAAGTGTTGGTGCAAAACTTGATTCCAACTCCCCAAATGCCACTCCCCACACAAGCCCCTTCCCCATCCCTCCACCCTACCTCTGGACCCAGGCCATCCATCCCAACACTGGAGGAAAAAAAAAAGAAGTGTTGGTGAACTAATAATTGGGTGGACAGTTCTTGAGAAGTCACCCATCCCTGCTTGCCTTCCCAACATTGTCTCTCTTCCTTGTCTACTGAAACTTCACTTCCTCATTTCAAGGCTCAGTTCCAATGTCTCCTCCTCCAGGAAATCATAAGCAATGTCAATGACAGGTCTTTTTACTTCCTTATCATCCTTACATCACAATGCAGAGACAAATACGGGGTTCACCGGGCCATACCCTGTTTTCCCATGCTACCAACTGTCAGCCTAGGGAAGAGGAAAGCACAGCTCTGCTTAACCTGGAATTGGGCTCGGAATCCTTCTTACCAAAGGACTAAGTCAGCTTCAGTCAACAGATTGGAAGTGACGTTTTGGATAAACCCAGTTTCCCACTCCTGATGCCCATGCAGCAAACATCTGAAGCATCTTTGGTGATAGTGCATGCATTTCTGACTTGGTTGTTCCTTGCAACAGTGTCATAGTCTGCAATGACAGTAACTGTGGATCTGTGGGTTGTGTGTTGGGGTGGTGTTGGTAAGTGGTCTATGAATCACAGATTTCTAAAGCTGGAAAAATCTTCAAGATAGAACTGGTGAGAACTCATCTGTATTGCCTGGCTTTAAAATGGAAACACCAAAGCATAGAGAAATTAACATCTTTCTATGATCACACAAAAAGGGTAAAGTATATCTGCTAACAAAACACTGCTTTTCACAATAGAATTCTACATGAATCTACTATTTTTTTTTTGGTTTTTTGAGATAGGGTTTCTCTGTGTAGCTTTGGAGCGTATCCTGGCACTTGCTCTGTAGACCAGGCTGGCCTCGAACTCACAGAGATGTGCCTGCCTCTGCTGGTATTAAAGGTGTGAGCTACTAATGCCTGGCCTGAATCTACTATGAATTTTTATGATTTAAAATTATTGATTATTAATCCAGGTATGTCTTAATTAGGGTTTCTACTGCTTTGATAAGACTCCATGACTAAAAATCACTTGGGGAAGAAAGAATTTATTTTATTTTACAACTTGCAGGCCAGACACCATGAATGAGTGAAATCATGTAGGGCAGGAATCTAGAGGCATAAACCAAAGCAGAAGCCAAGGCAGAATGTTGATTACTGACT